TGATTTTGAAGTAAATTATCAATTTGATCCGATTGGGATGAAAGCTGTTAAAGAGTAGGTTTCTGATCATTGTCATATATAGGTCTACCCTTATTAAATTGGATTATATACATACATATATATATAATATATATGTATGCGTGTATGTATGTGTGTATGTATGCATGCATATATATATATATATATATATATATATATTTCGTACTCTTTATCTTTACCTATCGGAATATTGCATTGCACTTAGTTTATGTTTTAAATGCCTAAAACACAACAACAATTTTAAAAATGCTGGCTGGGGGAAAACAGTATTTCTGGTGTGAATCACGCCAACGATGGTCTTGCAGTGGTAGTGGAGAATTTGGCAGTACACCGGGAAAATCCCTCTTACTGTGTTTTTTTAAAGAGTGTACTGCATTTTTAACGTACGCTTAGGTCATATTAACACGATAACTTGTTTGTGCCTCTTGTTTGTTTTTGTCACATAAATGATACAGACTTGAATACTATCTCATTTCTTTAGGTTCAGAGAAGAGTTGGCCAGAATTGGTAAAATTGTTGACCAAAGAAACAGCGAGAGAGAGTCGGCGTACCCTTATTTACACCCTGAGGAAGTACCAAATGCTATCAGCATATGAACCCACAATTAGATCAAGATAACGTAAATAATAACCCTGTATTACTATTCTTCGATTGTTTTTTAGGGTGGGTTACTATTTGAGTATAGGTTACTGTTAGAGTAGTGGGTATACTTGAAAATATTAAACCCCCACGCACCCTCACCACTTGCGTCAGCAATTCATAGAAATAAATAACTACAGTACGAGTAAACTTGGTTGATTTAATTTTATTTATAAACTAAAAATTGTCCGCCACTCATGCATTATCTTCTTATATTTGTTATTTTTAAAATGCGGCGGGCATCATTAACGGTCAGTCATTAAGGAAAATTACCAAGGAGTCAATTCAAGTAAGAATCATCAACGGCGTAATCACAATATATATTTTAAGGAATAGGCCTAAATCGCGTTAAAGCATAAACAATGTTGATTTGAATGTCATTTGTTTATAGTTTTGGTTACTCTTGTAGTAACCCCATAAGTTATTATTAGAGTGTGAGTTATTATTATAGATCAACTTCTTTGGTGGGTGGAAGGGGTTACTAATAGAGTAATGGTTAATAGGTAGTTTTCGCCGCACGACGTTAACCTTAACGTTAACGGATGATGTCATAATTTATTCATCTTGCGTTGCGGAGTACGTAAATTTCAGGATGTTACGTGTTCAACGTACGTTAGTTACGGGTTTGCGCATGCATATTTCGATTTGTTTACAAAAAGGGGCGGAGCTATCGCGCTGAATGTTGGGTACTAAAGTTAAAGTTAAGTTAAGGTTAACGTCGTGCGGCGATAACTACCTATTATTAGAGGTTTTACGGTTTTTCTTAATGTTTAACAGTATTTATTATAGAAGGTGACCCTTTCAGTGTATCCTAGAAGATCGGCTGATATTCAGGTGCCCTCTTAAATAATGTGAGGCTTTTTCAACAAAGTCTCATTACGAGGGAGTGGAGATGATTTTTAGTCGTGAGAAAAATGTTTTACTGTCACTGGATTAGAACTCAGGATCCTGGGATAGGATCGAAGGCAAGCATCTCAACCACTAAGCTACAGATCCACAACAATATATGTATATAATAAGGTTATTTTTGAATTGGTGTTTTGTTATATAGGTGTTATATCTAAAAAAATAGTTTTTAATCTATTTTTTATTTTGACTTTATTTAGAGAAAGTAATCCTTCCAACTGGGTTTTGAAAGCCCAGTTGATACTGTATTTGGGGCTTTTACCCAAAAGGTAGTTACAATTACAAAGACAGTTGCATTAACAACATTACGACATGGAGTTCCAATAAAACAAACCGCATAGGCCTAAGTGTAGATAATTAACGTTAAAATTAAGTTAATGATTACAGAAATTAATAGAACATTTAAGATATATACACATTAATATTATAACTACATTATATTATTAATCTACATTACAACGTTATATGAATCATTTAGTTTAAAGTGTAATTATGTTTAATCAAAATATATTGATTTAAATTTGTTAATACTTCTAAGAAATATACAATATAGAATTATGCTACGAAGCAGCACTGTATATACATTTTGGTGAGACAATTTGATTGCCTTATCCAGAATAATATTTATGTTATGTAGTGTGCTTGGTTGCCCTTTAATGATTGTGTAGAATTAAGCAAGAAACATGTTTTGCATGATTAACCACAAAGATGACTGCCCAAATTATATGGCTTTCGCAAGAGTTACCGTAATTCAACTCATCTCACTAATACAGTAGAACCCCTATTAAGGGACACCTTGGGTACCCAAAAAAGTGTCCCCTTAATAGAGGTGTCACCTATTCAGGGGACACTAACCAAAAATGTAAATTTGTCCCCTTAATAGGCTTTTTGGCATGCTTTTTGTACCGTGATGACATTGGGGTTTTTTTTATAATTTTATTTTAATTGACCAAAGAACGATTAACAGTTGCATTATAACTAATTTAATATAATAATTTGCAATGCAAAGAATAATTCATTCACTGTATGATATGGAATCAACAGATACGGTATGCTATTAAAACTACAAAGGTTGTGTACATTCCTGATATTGTTTCATGATTCAATGCAATGAAATAACTTTTCTTTTTAAAAATATTGAGCTTTCTATTGAATGCACAAGATCGAATATCATTGACTTAAAATAAGGATGCAGGCTGTACGGTTTAGATTAACCTATATGAAAATACACAAAACAAAAAACCCATGGTTATTGGTAAAAAGGGTTGTCCCAAAGGAGGGGTTCTACTGACAAAAAACCCCCCAAAAAAACGACTTTATCTGTATATTTATTCCTGATAGTTCTAGTATGCAACATTATTTCTTTAAATAAACATATTGTAAATATACCTTTTTTAAGCACTTCTCTTAACATTTATATCAAAAGTCACAACATTTTTAAAAAGCCGATCATTTTAAAAACGAATTTTCTTTGATGACCTTTGCCCTTCAACTTCAGAAAAAATATTTACAATGTCACAGGAACTATCTCTGTCCAATTTGGGCTTGTTCAAATCTTTTCAAAATCTGACCTTTAACCTCTATATAAAAAATTATAAAATTATAAAAATGCCACAACCATCATAAAATGTGAAATT